GTTTCATTATCTCTAGTGCTATTGTAAGTGAATCTTTCCTTCCTTTCTTTCTGATACTTGTCAATGTACAGAAAAACACTTGATTTTTGCATATTGATTTTGTATCCTGCAACTTTACTGAGTTCATTTGCAAATTCTCGTGATTTTTTGGTGAACTCTTCAGGACTTTTTACACACTAGACCATGTCAAGAGCCAGGCATTGTGGTGAAAGCCCATAATCATGGCACTTGGGAGGCTGAGTCAGGAGGATTTCAAGTTTGAGGCCAGCAGAGACCATCTTACTTCTTTATTTGCCATTTGAATGTTTTTATTTCTTCATCCTGCTTAATAATTTCTCTGCCCTTGAGCTTCCACTGTTAAACAGAAGCAGTGAGAATAAACATTTTGTCTTGCTCCTGGTCTTAGAGGAAAGGCTTTGAACTTTTCACCATGGAGTATGTTAGCTATGGGCCTGCCACAGATGGCCTTTATTTAGTCCTTCCAGATCTAATGTGTTAAGAATCTCTATTACTCCAGGTGGTTTCTCTGCATTTATTGACTGCATTTATTGACTTTCTCTCTCTCTCTCTCTCTCTCTCTCTGTCTCTCTCCTTTTTCTTTGGTGGTACTGGAAATTGAATTCAGGACCTTGCATTTGCGAGGCAAGCTTGGTGCCACTGAGCTAAATCTCCAGCCCCTTCTCTTCATTTATTGAAATGATCATATTTGCTTGATCTTTCATTCCATTAATATGATGTATCCCATTTACTGATTTGTCTCTATTGAACCAACCTTTCCCCACTCGTTTGGGACATATTGTTTTAAAGAACTGAGGATGTAGCTCAGTACAAAGGCCTCTTATGGCTGTTACTGTCTGCCTGCATCCTTCTATAAAGCTAAATAAACGTAGATTACTTATGTTAAAAATCAGTCTGATTTCCAACTTGCCGACCCAGCTCGGAAGGTCAAGTGCCATATTTTGTTGATTCGTTTTTTTTTTCAATTTTTGTATTTCTTTCCCAGTACATGTTTGCAGTACACAATGATGACATTCCTTGTGAGGAGTCAGTGTGTGTACGTAACACGTTCTTTTCACATTTTTAACATCTCACAATTAACTGAGCACCATGGTCTGGACCTCATATCTTGAGGTATCAGGCCACAATTAAATCAGCCGCTTCTCTTTCTTTCTCAGGGGTACACAAAGTAAGAGTTCAAATACAATCGGCAGCATTTTATGTATTCAGTGATATAAGGTGCAAAGGAAGTGAGGATGCCTTCAATAGGTGGGCAAGTTTCCTCAAGTGGTTCTTCTCGCTATCCACCTGCACTGCTGTTTCCTCACCTGGTCTGTTGCTCCTAATGGCCACAGAGTCCTCCAGATGTGTGCTGAACGATGTGATAGCTGTGTGAGGTCCAGTACGGTGCCACTAGGCCTATCATGTGTGGTCATTAAGTTCTGACTAA